TACATTTTCATAATTACTATTATTTTATTTTCTTACGTGGAATCTTACTGTGTAAAAAAGCTTCAGGACCATTTCCCAAAAAACAAAATGAATGCTTTGGTTAAAACCCCTGCATTCTTTTTTTCTCAGGGTCTGCTAGGCCACAGTGACACAGCTGAACAGGTTCCAAAGTAGGAAATAATTTTCTCTCAAGGGAAAGATGTCTGCTGAAAATTAATTTATTTCTAAGTGTCAGTGAAGTAACCCAGAATACTAATTACTAAAGCCAGATTATTAATGATCAGCATGAGCTTCTGCCAGCACTGTCTCCAGAGTGGTGTGAGGAGCAGCTCATAAGCACTGGGGATCGAAATTGTTTGAGAAGCCAAACCTGGTCCAGCAGGAACTGGGCTTTGAGACTGAGCAGAGAACCATTTCCTGCCATGTAAACAGACACTCTGTACCTGCGTCTTCACTGTGCTCTTTCCAAAGGACTTCAGTTTTCCTTAACACCTTCCATCAGCTGCTGTTCTGCCCAGCCCCTTCACACGGCAGCAGCCAGAACCTCTCACTGCTGGCAGGCTGCTAGCTCCACTGATGCATCTGGGAGAAGTTACACTAAGAGAGGAGGAGGTTGGACTGCAGCCCAGAGCTCTCCAGCAGAATGAAAACATTCTGGCCTATGTTTTTAGGCACATACAGCCTCAACCCGTAGGTGCACAGAACTGGAAAAGAGGGAGTACATCAGAGTTTGTGCAGCAGGGCTTGTGAGCACACACTCAGCAGCATTGCTACAAGAATCACCACATGCAAAACAGATAAAGACGCAGATTTAAATAGAAATATATTTCCATCTCAGGAAATCTTAACTGAGAAAGGAACAAAGCAAATGAGTTATCTACTTTGCAGCTTAGCGAAACACGGGAGCCTGATGTGGTTCCCTTCTCCTATAAATTAGGCAGCAAAGTAAAAAGGCAGCAGGAATTTCAGAGTTCAGACTGTCAGTCTTTTTACAGACAAGAATGGCAGAACTTCCAGTTAAACAAAGGCACTCTCATCTGCAATGCTGATGTCCTTTTATTTCCACCAGCACTCTTCTTATTCCTCACCAAGGAGAATCTGGTAGTCACTTTGCATCACAACATCTCTGAAAGACACCTAGAACTGTAAAATGAGACAGAGTAAGAAACAAAACATGTTTGTGATGTCCTTCACTTCTGCCTCAGGCAGGTCTTTCTAAGGACATCAGCCACCCAACTGCCATTAATACCACCTACATCTGATTCATTTCCAGTCTGTCCCAGCTAACAAGTACAGTATTTCCCACTCTACAAATATACCGGTACCAAAACCCCTATGTTTAGCTTTTTCTACATTATTTCAGAATCACAGAATGGCCAGGGTTGGAAGGGACCTCAAGGATCACGAATCTCCAACCCCCTGCCACATGCAGGACCACCAACCTCCCCATTTAATACCAGCCCAGGCTGCCCAGGGCTCCATCCAACCCGGCCCTGAACACCTCCAGGGATGAACGGGGCATCCACAGCCTCTCTGGGCAGCTGTTCCAGCACCTCACCACTCTCGTAGTCAAGAGCTTCCCCCTGACATCCAACCTAAATCTTCCCTCCTTCAACTTAAAACCATTTCCCCTCGTCCTGCAGTTATCAACCCTTTCAAAGAGTTGATTCCCCTCCTGTTTGAAGGCTCCCTTTAGGTACTGAAAGGCTGCAATGAAGTCACCCGCAGCCTTCTTTTCTCCAGGCTGAACAAGCCCAGCTCCTCAGCATGTCTTCATAGGGTAGCTGCTCCAGTCCCCTGATCATCTCTGTGGCTCTCCTCTGGACCCTCTCCAACAGCTCCGTCTTTCTTGTACTGGGGGCTCAAGACCTGGTTGCAGTACCCCAGATGGGGCCTCACAAGAGCAGAGTAGAGGGGGACAATCACCTCCCTGCCCCTGCTGGCCACCCCTCTTCTGACAGAGCCCAGGATACCAGTTGCTTTCTGAGTCGCAAGGTCACACTGCTGGCTCATGTTAAGTTTTTCATCCATCAAGACCCCCAGGTCCTTCTCTGCGGGGCTGCTCTCAAAGGAAAATGATCTTTTTTCATATTTTTTTTTCCATTTCTGCTAAGTGCATACCTGCTCAATATTTAAAGGCCGTTTCAATATTCAGACATGCTGTACCCACCGTCAGTCCGGAGAATACGGGACGGACGGATGTGAAACCGGGCTGCGCTGCGAGGGCGCCGCCTGGCGGTGGTGCGGCACAAGTGCAGCCGCAGTGCGAGCAAACGCACACGGCCAGGGCGGACGCGGCAGGGAGATCCGACGCGGCTGTTACCATTGCCAAAGGCCGGCACGCGGTAACCGCCACCATGTAAGGTTACATTGAAGGGTATGAGAGAGGGCAAGGAACTGCAGCAGAAGAGCTATTGCTTCCCTCAACGCAGATCCACTTACAGACGTGCGATCAGTTCCCCTGAAGTCAATCAAGTTGTTGGAAGTAAGTGTGGAAGTAACAGAGATCAGACTGCGACCTGCAGGCTGTCATTGTGAATCCCATCTGACAGCATTCCTTTAAAACAAAGTTACATGAAAGCCTGTTACTAAGTGACTTGCTTTTAGATGTTGATTTACTCACTTTCACCAGATCCCTTTTGCCCATAAAACGCTTTGTGTGTGCATCAGCTAGAGATAACACTCACACTACCTGGTTTCACAGGGGCTTTGGATAATTGCTCTTTGTCCATTTTTGAAAGCACAAATGGAAATACCCAGTCACTTCTAAGAGCTTTTTTGCCACGTGAAATGTGTTCTTTCACTATTATAGTCCAACTCAAACTTCACAAACTAGAGATAAAGGACATTTAGGACTTCGTACCTTCCAGGTTCTGCAGCATTCCTCCTTACCCGTGGATAGGTGTGCTCCATCACAGTATTCACGTTTGTTTTGCTCATGGTGCCTCTGTTCACATGGATGGATGCTCAAGTTAAGCATCTGACTGCAAGACCAAGCATTTCTTCAGCTGTTATTACGTGACACTGAAGTCAGGGAGGACCTAAGAAATACACAGAGTACATTCCAAAGCAACAGAGGTGTTCCTTAAGTGGAGACAGGGAATTAATTAACTGTGGAATGACACACAGCGTCAGGAAAGGAAGAAAGAACTTTGGCTACTGTAAATTTTAAAATATAGAAAAAGAACACCGATGCCAAAGGAAACCAACCTTTGAAATCAATAAAGATCCTTTTAATAACCCAACCCCAAATCTTGCAACCTGTCATATTATAATATAGATTAGTAGGGACAGAAAAACAACATCTTGCAAAGATTTAAACTTGTCTTGAAAGAAGTAGGAAGTTATCAGGCTGATGTTTTGATGAACAGGCAATTTTAACGTAATTTCTCAAAGCCCGTATCTTGCCAACTGCTTGAATCAACTAATTGCCTAATTTAATCTACTTGAAACAAAGAAGATTGAGGCTTGAATCCCTTCTTACTCAATCAGAACTGAGTATCAGGACTGATTTACGTTACCTTTTAACTTGCATACGTAAATCAAAGGAACTTCAGGCTCCACGACCTTTATCTAAGCAGTTACCAGGAGGAGGAAGTAGTAAAATACTATAAACAGCACTGACTAAAAGCATGATCACTCTAGGAAATGCCCAAAATAAATATTATTACAGATATAGAAGCTTCATCTTCATTATGTTTAGGTTAAATTGGTCTTTTATATCTCAAATACTCAAAATTTCCACTGAGGCTTTTAACATCTAACCCCACTGCTCCCTAAATGTTTCTTGATGCATACTGTGCATCCGTACTTGCAAATCAGGCTTCAAGCTTACCACCCATTACAGGTTCCAAGGTGGAGAGCACTGCCTTGCCTACAGAAATGGCAAAATGATGGATTTCTATACTTCATCAATTATTTCAGTGAGCATAACATATTTCAGCCTTGAAAGACCAAAGTTTACAGTTATTGGAATGAAGACTAGAACGGAAGTGAATGTGCTTAGCCCACAAATTCTCAGAGCACAACAAAATGCGTCAAAAGTTTTAATAGTTATGACTTTGATACAGAAGCCATGTAAGTGACAGAGCCCTTCTATTGACTGTTAGAACAGTAATACATGTGTGATTGTCTTCAGGCCCCAGTACCTAAACAGTACTGGAATTTAAAAAAAAAGAACAAATATAGCTGATTTCCAGCTGGAGAGGAAAGAGAAATACTGAGCTGCTTTCATGCACTTTATGGGAAAGATTGCATAGCTGGTTTAGATAGAAAATGTCTTTTTATGTCCTCAGTAATAGTGCTGTGCTTCTTTAATTTCTTCATGGATTATAGATGATCGTATTCTTCTATTCAACGTTATCAGACCACAGAATGAGTACAATGCAAGACTCCCTCTGAGAACAAGGACACAGTCTCAAAGTTTCTCTTGGGAAGAAACGAATCACATATGCAGTAATCATATCCAAAATGCAAACATTTCAAGTTTCATAAGGACGTGACAATCCATAAAATATTAGTTGAAGGTAAGCACCAAACCCAGCAACTGCCATTTCAGTGACTGAAGGGCAAACCCGGGATGTGGTTGTCTTCAACACTGGGAATTGGATCTTGACTGCTGTCCTTTCACATAAGATAATTTCCATGCAAGATCCCCAGCTGTACAACACAGTGATAGAGGCATCTCATTATTTAAGGCCCATGCTTTTTTTTCTTGGAGAAGTCACCCAAGCTAATCGCGTTTTTCTTTCTTTTTTTTTTTTTTTTTGCTTGTAAGAGCAGTATTAAATATCTGTAAATACAAAAAAATTGTGGAAATACCTTTAGTAACATTGTGATTCTGTCTGTTAAAAAAAAAGAAAAAAGAAAAAGAGTAACCACAACCCAGCAATCAGCCATCTTTGCCAGAACGCCAGCAGTGAAGATAAAAACGTGACTGTTCCAAATATCCTGCGGATGAAATGAAGCTTCTCTCTCTATGCAGACCAGAATCATTTCAGTATTTTTTGAGTTCTAAGAAGCCACAAGGAGAGGACAGAAGCCCCCAAAGCGCCTGAGATTCAGATAGGCTGGACTGAAATCATTCTGACAACACTGGCTCACACACAGTTCTTCAGATTCTTATGTGGAAAGTACTGCAAAGGAAGCAAAAATATTGAGAGATATATAAATATTTATCACTAAGTGCAACATTCTCCTTAGAACACATACAGAAAGGTGTTCTGTAAAGATTCGGGATCTCTGCCCTCTTGTTCTCTCTCCTAGTAAGGATATTTGAGAAAGCAAAAAAACCTGAAGTGCATTTCCATTGACACTGAAGTATTTCAAGATAAAATGCATTCCTAAACTGACTAAATTTTACTCCCAAAAGCACCATCATCCTTTTTACAGGATATCTAACAATTAGGAAGATCAAGCATAAAAAATGAATTGGTATTAGAATTATGATAAGATGAGGAGTGACAGCATTTAAAGGATTTCTCATTTTGAAAGCAGATCTAATAGTTTCCAGCCCTTGCTTTATCCAAAGTCTTACCATCATTTGGACAGGGAGATATTTTTTAATTTTCAGTCCTAAGTTGTTGATAAAGATATTAATGGGCTGATAATAAAACTACACCGTTCCTTTTGAAATGCAGCTCTACCATTTGATCTGCAAAAATATTTTTGTGGACAGTTCTTTACTTAATGTAAGAAATTACCTATGGAAGCTACTCCAAAAGCAAGGAATGCTGATATTCATACAGAGGTTGAGCTCTTGACAATGACCCAAAAGTCAATCCGCAGGCCTGCCATCTCAGCTACTCGACTTTAACAGTGAAGAGACTTCATATTTGTCCCCCAAATTACTACCATTTTGTTGTGATGGGAACATTCTCACTTTTCTTCTGACATACAATAGTACAATATTTACTTGAGGAAACTTCCAGAAAACTGCTACTGATCAAGCCTCTGGTGCAACCTATCACAGCATTAACAAAGGCCACTTAGTATCTAACACAGGAAATCAGAATCTGACAGGGCAAAGTGTTGACTTCACATTCAGTAAGCAGAAGGTTGAACCAAGCAGCTGCTAAATCTGCAGTAGTGATGAGGATACAGGATGGTGATACCACTCGAAAAACAAAACTAAGGGAACTTTTTGGTCTTTCAGCATTACCATACCAGCAGTATCATCTCCACAATTTCACCAAACAGCAGTAATTCAGCTCTTCACGACGTCATTTTACAGACTGTGTCTATGTTTTACTGCAGTTGAGCTGCAAGCATTTCTCAAACGTGCTGTCCTTATTTGCAAAGTATTCTGTGAATTAGATTCTGTAATTAAAAGGACTTGAATTCTGGTTGCAGACTGAGATGGCAAACTTAGGTAAGTCAGAATGCTCCCTTGAATCACGTAAAGTTCAATTAGCCTGTCAGAATGAATGCTGTCTAGAATAACCCTCTCTCTGTGTGTAAGAGAGTAACTACGGAAATTCAGAGGTACTGATAATATTTCTTTTATATAAAAGAGTTTATTCTACAACAAGATATACGTACAAGGACATACTGATAACATCCTCAGAGAAGATCAGATTTAGTGCAGGAAAGACGTAGACAAAAATTTGTGGTGCAGATCTCAGATCTGCAAATGTGCTCAGTTTTTAGAATGAGCTAAAGCTAGAAACTAGGGCTGGAAACCTCAGATCTTTCTGTAATAGAATAAAGAATAAAACAAGAACGACTGCTTATTTTCTGATTCATATGCCAACTGCAGAATATAGACTTATCATTTACATTGCACATTGTCTCCTCCAGGACAGTTAAAATCCACAGTTAAACAGGGCATTTCTGTTAACTACTTGCCAGCACAGCAAGCCTTCTCTCAGGCTCTCAGGAAGATTGACACACGTGAAGAGAAACCTCCATCTTCTGAAATTATTTGATTAGAGAGCCAAGCAGAGCACTGGATTAAATTAAGTGTCAATTGACTTATTTATTGGATATACAGCAAAGCAAAATGCTTCCCAATTGCACTTAGGCTGTTGCACAGCATTTGGGTTCCTAAGCAGATCAAACTAGGCAGATAAAGGTGATGCTTCCCTTGCTAAGTCCAAAACTATTTTTGTATTTCTGGGTATCATTCTGAACTTTGAAAATTATGGATTTTACGAATAAGAAAACACTGATAAAAGTGATTTCTTGCTACTGTTTTCTCACTAATAATCTCCTGCCAATTTGTCACTAGCTCTGATTTTAGTCTTTAGGAACTAGATCATCTGCACTTTAGAAAAGGTCTTACAGAATGCACAGAATCTAAGACATAGTTGCTACCCCTTCAGCTTTGGATAGGACACGAATCAGGATATCAGCTGTTACAGGAGTAAAGGCCCACATAGTTCAGAATAGCATATTTACAATGACATCTTTTTGTTTCATATGTTGTCTCACTGCTCAGGTTTGTCAGCTCCCAGGTGTTACTAATGCCATATTCTTCTCAAGCTCCATTTCAGATTGTTATAGTACGTTTCACCCTCAGGCCTTCGAATAAGCTTAAACTTCCATGATGATTTATAAACCAATTTCCTGGGGAAAATGTAACCAGTCTTGTAGAACAGAACACTTCGCTAATGCCAGCTCAGAGTCCAAATGCTTCCATTGCACTACAAGCAGCTTCTAAATGATAACAATTTTGAAACCTACTGAAATCAAATTCTCTGAACTAGCAACTGTCATTCATTTATAACTTACTCAAGCTTCCAGAATAACAGTCAAAAATGCATATATATCTACCTTGGTCAACAATGAGCAGTGTCTTCTTCTAGCTTCTACAAAAAGTCATCAACATCAGCAGCACAAATCAAGCAATAAACAAGAGCATTTTCATTTGCCTGACAACAGCACAAACCTTGCAAAGGTTGTCTGTAAGGGATTAAACCTAAACAGCATCATAGACAAAGGAAGCAGTGACATGAGGAAAAAAAATCAGTCAACCTACAATGGGTGAACTTGAGCTCATATCAAGTACAAGCCTGGATCATGGTGTCAAAATTAATGCCTGCTGCATGTATTAAGTACATATAAGTGTACTGCAGCTTAGAAAAAATAAATTGGTATATTGAGCTCTGTGAAATAAGTGCTCCAAAAATGGAGTATGCAAAGGAAAACCTTCGAAGATTCCTATCAATAAGGCAAAGAAGATATTCTTCCTCAGTAATGGGATTTTACATTTGAATAGAACATATTATAAAAGTTTCCCATGTTTGCCAAAAGTCAGGCAAGCACGGGACTCATTTAGCAAAATAAAGAAGATGTAAGATGATGTAAAGTTGTATGACAAATGGTTTTGCAGAGAACACATGTTGAAGCAGTGGCAAAGCCACAAGTTTCTACCTTGCATCCTAAGCTTCATACTCTTACAATGTGAAGAAGTGGCTCTTTGTATGGAAAAAAGGTAAAGAATAGACAATAAAGAATTTCTTTGCTGCCAACAGAAACAATCTGAGATCTGCAGGATTACTTAACATTTTCTGCAGAATCACATAGTAGGCACCAATGTGGTATTCTAGGATACAGTATTCAGAAATGCTGATTGCCTACAGCTTCAAAACAAAGTCTCTGAGTACTATAGTTATCCAACATCTCCCATAGCTCATTAGCAACCAGTTCTTAAAAGCGACCATTGCTTTAATGCAAAGTGTCTAATTTTCAGAGCTGATGAGCAACTGAAAGTATTAATCAATAAGTACTCCCATTTCCTTGAAATTAAAGTTTGGAATGTATTCAGCTGGGCACAAAAAAAGGAGATATGCAAAAACAGATGAAATCACAGCTGTCTCTGGACATGGATAGGTTGGCAGTTCTCCCATTCATCTGGTAAAGACTTTCAAAAGGGACAGTTTCACCAAGATGAAAAAAGGTTTTCATATCTTTTCACATCATAGCTTGCAAACTGCTTCTACAACACAGCAGTAAAATCAGTCATGGCACAGGAAACCTCTGAAACTACAGCTTCTGCTGACTCTTCACATCTGCCTTCTATTCTTCACATTTGATCTGTGCTATCTACCAGCTCTACAGGTGCAGCACAGCCTTTTCATTGAATAAATGAAATTCTACCTGATCCCAGCAGCTTCTATACAGAAGACCAATCTGCAGAAAATGTTTGGGGTTTTTGCTATAAATACGTGCTAACAAAATATTACATATACTCAGTCCAATCTCACCATAATGATGATATATATCTTGTTCCAACAGAGTGCCTGTTGGTAAGTTTGATTAGTCAAGGAGTGCCTGATATATTTCTAATGTATAGAAGACATTCATATTGACTTTCCAGAATATCATCCTCAGATGCTGATGTTTCCTGGGATCCACAGGGACCTCATGCTTTACAGCAGAATCATTGCCTTACAATGTTTTTCCTTAGAAATGTAATTTATTGTAGAAAAAAAACTCTCCTGTATTTTTCAGGACACGTCAAAGTTCTTAATCACCATTAGCATTAAGATTATCAATCCAAATTTTAATCTACTTCAACTCAATGCTAACATTCAGTCTTATTTCCTATGGAAATAAGTCCATTTGACTGTGAGCTTTGGCAATCCTCTCCAGAAGCAGCCATGACATCTGTAATTTTGTTTAAAAATCAATACATAAAAATCCTGGCACACTGGATGGGTTCCTATGCAACAGGGACCCCTGTTTGAAAACTGTATGTGTTTGAGCTTCCAGAAGATGAAAATATATTCCTGAAAAAGTCACACAGATACAGACATAAAAAAAGGAGGAGATAACTGAGTCATTGAGCTCTTAGTCTTAGGACAGAACTGGAATAGGCTCTGGAGAATTAAATTGAGTTAGGGTAAGAAGACATCCTCCAGGCTCCTCAGCAAAACTCAGTTCTCTTATGCCTGATATTTCTTACACTACGCTACACAGCCAACAGCCAGAAAGAATACCTGAAAATAGGCAAAGTGACAATCCTTGTCTCCATACCTGAGAAAGTCCGGTGCTTTGGAAATCATGTTTTCAAAATCTGCAAATCCTAATTTGCCATCACCATCCATGTCAGCTTCTTCTATCACTTTCTCACAAACCAGAGTGATTTCTTCTGCTGTTAGCTCTTCTCGGGTCAGCTTATTGAGGGTTTGTTCCAGGTCTGCTTTACAAATGAAGTTATCTGTGTTAAAATCTGAAGAGTGAAAGAAGCAAAGAAAACATCACTGGCAACTCTCACATTTATTTTCAGCAAAGACATACAAAACTATCTCAGTACATTACCATAGATCTTAAAGGCATAGATAGCTTTGAGCTCTCTGGGAGCCATTTCACTGAGCACAGAGAACATGTCCACAAAATCATTGAAGCTGAGGCTCCCCTCTCCATCTTCCGAGAAAGATTCCACAATTCTTTCCTTAAAGGGATTCTCCTGTAAATACAAACCTTGTATTACTTAAAACAAATAAAAAAACCAGTAACACCTATTTGGAATATCAGGAAATGTGCATACTCCTTGCCAAACAAATAGTAGTTAGTTGTTTGAAGATCTCTTCTTGCAGATAACTTTTTTCCTCCAAAATGCATCCAAAAGCTTACATTTGCATGTTAGGGCACAAAGTGTCAGTAAAGCATGCTGCTGCACAGTACTGCTTCTTGCCTAGATTTTCTCAGCTCCATTGTTACTCATTTTCTCTATACTGGTGTTGACCTCAATTCTCTTGAGAGTAGACCTGCTTTATAAATGTTAGAAATAAAGGTACTAGGAGTGTGAACACCATTTGCATAAAATTGCTTCCTGACAAGCTGTCATACTAATAAAGTCAAGCGAATTACTGGTCCTGCATTATGAAGCTAGTAGATACAGACTGGATGATAGCCAAAGAAACTAAGGAGAAAGTCAATAAAACAAATGGAGACTTTATACCTCTGCCAGCACCCGACCCAAGGCTGGAGGAATGATTACTGTTGATGAAAGCATTGTAAGAAGTAAGCATAGCTACCCATCTGCTTAATGCAGAACCACCAATGAACCATCAAACAAACAAGCCTGTTTATTAAGGATGTAGAATCACATCCCTAGTAGCATCCTGTAGAAAGGTCTTTCATTTTCACTGCTATAAAAAATATCCCACCTCTGGTTGAAATGAATCTGAATTCTAGAATTTTAAACTAAATTTCATCTCTTCAGAGATGATTCTAAGATCCTATTCCAGCACCTTACCAATGCAGTTGGTAACAATGCCACTCTCAAAAGCCAGTATCCTGAAACCATAAACACAAGAGCCAGCAAGCACAGAGAAGTTGCTTTACTGCTCTGAAGTATAAAAAAAAAAAAAAAAAAAAAAAAAAAAAGGTTTTACAGCAACAAAACAACATCTTTCCATAGTAACAAAACAACGTATTTCCCACAGCTGTATAAAAACTAAGATGAATTTGCAGTTATTTCTATAAAATAGCTACAAATCAATTCAACTGAGTGGGAATAGAACCCATGAACGTGATCTGAACTGCAAGGGGCATCTGGCCAAGGCTGTGCTACAGATCCTGTCTGAAGTCAAAGATGCCAATCAAAACACTGATCATTGTGTTTCCAAATTTCCTTTGTGATTTCAATTGGACACTGTTATCTTTAGCTCTTCTTTTAAGCTGCTGCACATCATTAAAAGTTGTTGAATTTAACTTCAGAGACAGCTGTGTGTTAGTAGTACATAGCCCAGTTCTTGTAAGGTATTTTGATGTTTTACATTTACATAATCAATAGCACAAGCCTATTGTGTTTGAGGACACAGCGTGGTAGAACCCAAATGTCTAGATTCTGTGATACACATTCTAATGAAGAATTCTAGCTAAGTTCCAGGAAAATCACCATTCCTTGAGAACACTGTAAATCTGCCTGTTCATACTGAGAGGTCATATCACAGACTTCTTAGCTGCAGTAACGGCCATGGAAGTTTTCCCCTGTGTCCTTCTTCATGTGTCAGTTACACGTTACATGCAACACGCCATTTTCCGCCCATTTTAATTTTAAGGATTCTCGTTAAAAGATCAGCGTAAGAAACGATAGTGAGCTGTGGCTGTGCACATAAATAACATTTCAAAGAACATCTAGTTCCTGGAAAGCAGCATTCCTTTCTTCTTCAGGTGATTGCTCATGTGTGGACTCACTACTGGATGACTCCTTGCAGCCTGTTCCAAGATGCAATTACAGAGAAGTGGAGAGGCATTGGGGTATAAGGCCTGGTTTGAAAAAGCCTGTCTTGCATCTAAGTACATTTGGCAAGTCAAACCACCCTGGAAATTTAAGAGCCTTACCGGCTGCAACTTTGAGATTCTTGCATAAGAAAGCTAAAAGGATTATTCACATCCTCAGAGCATACCTGATCCATTAGGAGATTGCAACTTAATGGCAGTGTAGGTCTCAACATACATTAACTACCTAATGAGATGCCCCTGAGCCTCCAGTTTGCACTCCAGGACTCCCTTCCATGGTAGCAATGGGAGTCTGCCAAAAGGCAAACAGCCATCCAACAGCACAATTGTGTCTGTCAATCTTTTGTGGGTAGGTGAGTTCTCAGAAATCAAATTCAGAATTGTAATTTCTCAGAACAATCATGAAGACCAGAGATTTCAGCACTCCTAAATGTCAAGATAACTCCAACCTTGCTGGCTGAGATAATGGCGAAGATTAAAGTTGTTTTAAAAGATAGCTAAAGTAGAAACCACAGAGTCATGGTCCCAAATGACAGACCATTAAGTCAGTCAATAATACATTCAAATTCTGCTGCATGGCTTACAGAGTGAACAACTTCACAATAAGAAACATTCCTACAGTCTTCAAAGGGTAAAGATTAACAACCTCACTGTGCTCTGAGCTTCATACATGAGGCTGAACTCACTGCTCAGATGAGAAAAATAGGCCAGTGAAAAATAAAATGCATCAGTGGGTACTGAAAAGAGTATCTGACTTGAGAGCTTGGAAATACCCCTGTCCTTGAATCTGTGAACACGGATATGGAGAGTTGCTCCAGAAAAAATGGTTGATTTTGTTGTTTCAATTGTTTTTCAGTGGTCAGCTTATCACCAAGACAAAGCAGGATTCAATTCGTCCCACTCTCTTCCTCGAAGCACATACATAAGAATGTATCTGTTAAACGTGTAAATATTAGAGAATGCTCAGTACAACAACAACAAAAAGTTAGAAATGCTATTGCTCTGATTTCTATAATGCTACATCACTCCCTGCAGAACTGACCCCATCAGAACTAGGCGTCATGGCAACAGCTATAAACTGACAGCTTAGAGGCAGCCCTGAATAACAAACAAGGACCACACAGATGCAAATATCCCTATCAGCAGTGAATATCAGACCCAGGACTTCCTCGTTCCAAGTGCCAGCCATGATCTCACTAAGTACACTGTGGTTGCATAAGATGAATTAACTACTTGACATGTTAGAGGCCTTGAAAATACCAGCAATGAATTAAAAGGACCTGGGTATATTTCTTAAGTAACTCTTTGCCAAATGCATCTCTAAAATCTAAATGAAAAATAAAATCTTTCCTCACATTGATTCCTTTCCTTTAACTTTCTCATATTGTGTGTCTTCAGGCAGTATATCTGTAGTTTACACAATGGAAAGTATTAGTTTACCTTCACAGATACTTTTCACATCCTTTCTGTAATTTCATTACCTCTGCTCCAAAGAGCACAGATTAAGGTTCCATCATATTTAAAGGAAAAGACATGGGGGGAGGGAGCAATGGGGAAAATGATACTGTTCCTTCATAGATCGTTTTCCTTCAAGTACTAATTGTTTGAGAAAGAACCCTTTTACAACAGAAAACCTACATTTGTCTTGTTAAGAAGCTTTTTCCATCCTCTTACAATAAAAATGAGGCAGAAACGATGAAGAACTATTACAGCTAAAACTCAGCTGTTTTGCAGACTGCTGATGTTGAAGCCACTTGAGATAATTCTTGTAAAAGCTATCTATCTTCTTAACCGTTGCCTTTTCTAGTTAGACAGCTGTATTTCTACATATTCTTAACGCACCATCACATCTATTCTGGCGTAAGGACTTAGAACACAATATGATAAATCATGGTGAATAGTTTTCTAACAAAAAAAAAGCCAGGCTGGATGTGGCTCTGGCAGCCTGGTCTGGTGGTTGGTGACCATGCACATAGCACAGGGTTGGAACTGGATGGTCACTGTGGTCCTTTTCAACCCAGGCCATTCCATGACTATGAATACTATCGCTGTCCTCGTGCCAGGGGTTGTAGTCAAATCTTACCATGTCATCTGTTACTCACACCTTGCTCTCACTTCCACCAGAGGTGTGAAAAAAACATACCATGTACATGACACTGTGTGTCCTCTTGCCTCACCCATTTCTCAATCATCTTGCAGCTTGACCAATTAATTTCAAGCACAGTATCCTTTTAGTACAAACTATGTTTTAGAAGTAAGATGTTGCAAATAAATCTGAAACAATTCTCCTTAGGTTAAGATAACTAAGCCAGAGAGGCTGAGCAGTCACTACAAAATGCTTCTCAGTTTTACATCCGCATAAACTGGCCTTCATTTGGGATTTTCATGCAAGTGACACTAGCAGAGATGCCCACGCACACAAAGCAGTCTGTAAAGCACTGCTTAAAATCACAGGAAATGGTTTTATTTTATTTTGAAGCATCATGCATGCATTCATGCTCAAACCCATAAAAAATAAGGTGCAAACTTTGATTCTGAAAGGTGACCAATTCACTGTTCCCTGTGTGTCCTTTCTTCCTCCTGACTGATTCCTGTGCCTGCTGCTCATTCTGTTTCAGTCGTGTGTGGATTTATGAACTACCTCACTCACCACTGCAGTGAATGACAAGGCCTGTGAGGATCAATGAAGTCAGAGCACGAGACAAAAGTGGAAAGCAGCAGACTGTAAAGTGAGCGTAGCAAAAATCGTTCCCCTCCAGAAAGCCCTTTTATAACCTACTCTACTCTTGACACAAAGACTGCTGCATCACCAGATACCAGCTTGAAGATTCTGTTAGGGACGTATACACCACAGTGACGGTGGCCACACGTGCACTTCTACAGATCATACGTGACCTCTATGATCAGCCTACATTCCTACATCCAGCTATGAAAAAATGACAGAGATAAGGCAAGCGAAATCAGCTTTGTTTTGAAACAATCTTCCCTTGTTACATGGCTTCACACTGAGCAGCTTGTACTGTTGCCACATATTTGCAGTATTAATTACTGTAATCTCAGCTATGCTTATATACTCATTAATTTAGTAGATATATTTGCCCGTGTAACCACAATGGTCAAAATTAGAGAACAGAAACTACAACAAAACAGTTGGAGTAAACTAGATCTGCTAACTTCAGTGTAATGGTAGACCTAATCAACTTAAAGTATCTGCCCCTTCTTTACTTATTTATTGCTTGCCCTGACTTTCAACTTAAGAACCATGAATTAGTGAAAAATTCATTACCAATTTAAGTAAGTTCTTCTTTGAAACATAGGTATCATATTTAAATTCACCCTGGCTCAAAACATTAATGCGTGAAGTAAAGATGCTTCTTTATACTAGCAGAATCTAATTTAGAAAAGTGCATTATTGATTCTATCCATTTGTCAGAATCTGCAGTGGTATTGAGCTGAACATTGCCAGTAACTAGAAGTGTAATGTGCATATGAAAAAAGCCAGGTGCATTCAAATTATCACTAATTTTATTAAAATTCAATAGACATTTAGTTTGTTTGTTTCTATTTTGGGATTCAAACATCATTTTAGTCTTTGTCTTGATGAGAACTTACTCAAGAACCAACACTAACAATTTGTTTAGCAGTCTGGAAAATTTGGAAAGGTTAAGGACCTTTTTTTTTTTCCTTATTAACTACAGTAAATAACCACATTGCTTGGAAAATGAACTCTGCATGAAAGACTTCTTTCTCCTCATCTGTATAGGAAGTACTAAAATCCATAGTGACCACAGCTGGTGCAGGTTTATGGCTGATAACCTTGCTGGCATTTTAAAATCCTGTACCGATAATATTTTGAAAGACATGGTGGGACAGGGGAGGGAAGATCTATTATCTTCATCTGACTGTTATTTTACTGGAAACAAGCTCGCTATGAACTCTTACAAACTCTGTTCCTGAAATGAGTGGTTAATCAGCAATATTTCTGAAGTCTTCCACATCTCTTGAGATCTGTGAGAGAATTATTAAATTTGACAGCAAATTTTGTCCTGTTGCTGGCATAAAATCAAGTTCAATTTCCCTCATGATGTATTCTAAAGCTGGATCAGAAAGCTTCACAGACTTGAAGGGGTGCAAGAAGATCAATTTTGATCCACTTTAAATACACTTCTTTAATCTGTTCCCTTTACCACCTATGTTTGCTATGGCAGCAAGATACGCTCTTGTATCTGAAAATTGAATTATGGTTCAAAATGAAACTTACATTTTCTACCTCAGTTTAAACATTCTGCTGTCCTGCAAAAATAGCAGTTAATGTTTTCATGGAATCAATGGTTTCCTAAGTGTCTGATCCTGCATCATTAAAGCAAAAAAAACCACGTGTGTGATCATCACTATCCACTGTCTTTTCTGAACTGAAGGCTGAAATCAACCTGTCTGGATTTCTCACAAAGCAAATACTGGCCATCTGGCAGTTAAGGGCTTCATAAGAGCTACATAACCGAGGCAGAGCAGTTCATATTGCATTACCAATGTCCTAGAGATTCAGGCTCAGTAATGAAATAAAACTTCAGAAACAGTGATCTTCCACACCAGAAGCACCAGTACAAACACCTAAGACACTAAAGCAGTGAATAAGACGTGACCTGCTAAAGAGAGATAAAACTACTTGCAACAGTGGATGAGTGAATCAAAACCCCTTAAGGAAGATGGATTTTAATTACAAAGATATAAATGCAATATTCAACTATAAGCAAAAATAGCTGGCTAGCTGGCTTAATACAATCAAGGTACTCCCACAGTGCTGTGAAGCACAGGCTATTTTATCCTGCCAGGATAAATTGGAAAAATCCAATTACTTTACATTCACACAGGTAAGACCATTAGTTATTTGTGATACTGTATACTAATTTACACTTTCATATATGTCTGCCCATTCAACATGTCAGCATTTCAGTAAATAATCCTATTTCAACAAAAATTATCTTCATTTTGTCCTAGCTGGTAAGCATCATCTAATTGGCTCTTGCTTATTGCTACGAGTGAGTCCTTTTAATTAAATAATCTCAGACAAATCTCATAGGGACCTTAAAAATAAATTCATCTGGTCTATGGATTGCCTCTAAGGGGAAGAAAAAAAAAGTAGAACACAGCAACTATCATAATTATCAGTTCATCCAGATCACCAGCCTAATTCTAACTGGGAACCATAGCAGATAAGGGAAAGCATTTTCAGAAAGGCGAGTACAACGGATATCTGGGAGACTTCCAGAGTTAGAGATCACATACAAATCATAAAACTTATCAGCAACTGTGGAATTCTGCTCTATAAAAGCACTCAAATCATTTTTTATGACATTCATGCTGTCTCCAGAATGTCTCGTGGTAATGAGTTCCTCGATATTTTCACGTGCTGTGTCAGCCATCTACCTGACAGCTTCATGAAATACCTCCTTGTCCTTTTGAAAAGCAGTACATAATTGCTCTCTTTTTGTTCACCTGCTATTATTATTCAGCTGAATCCTATGAGGAAAAAGAAGGCTTAGAGAAAGCCTTGTAATTCCCAACTTTTAGTTCCATTACCTATTTAACAATATGCATCATCATAGAGCCTGTGGGCCCAATTAAGTCTGCTTGTGCTAGAACTTCCCTCAGGCTCCTGATGTAGATGTCTAATTACGTTTTAAACAATCTAATTCTGGATAATCAGCTTAGAAACTGGTGTTGCAATCTCCACTTGGGATTCAGTTTGAGGTAGGTAAAATACAGGGCACCTTTGCAAAGTACTGCAGACTTTTCCAGATTTGCCTAATTTCTTTATTTGTATAAGAAAAAAAAGCAAGCAAAAATTTGTGTTACATAAAATTTTTGAAATATTTATATGATATCTGAACAGTTAATGTTCAATAAGATATTTTACGCATTGATGAACTGAAAAGAACATTTCAGCAAGATCTTTATACCATCTATTTTCAAAGTCCATAATTACTTTTCCGGATGCACTTTCTTCTTCATTAACTACACAGGCACATAACTTAGGGTCTTTAATAGATATTTCAACACATTTGCACACACAACGTTGGAAACGAATGGTTTATGGAATGCTGTAGCTGCTATTAGCATCTCATTAATAAACAAACCTAGAATTACGCTACTAACTATCCCGTTTCTACTTCACACAGAGCAACATAATGGACAGAGCATAATTTTTGTTTAAACTCCAGCACCTACATGATTTATTAAATGTCATTCATTTCATTAAGATGAGCTAGGAAGGTCAGCTCTGTAAGCTGCAGAGGACAGAATTACACTGATACCCCTGGCAGTCAAGGACACTGAGTGTGTCAAGGACACAGACGATGCAAACAGCTGGTAAGAAACCAACCCAGAGCTGGACTGTTCAGCCTTAGGAGCTACATAGCTTTGGGAGTTCAACAGCTGCACAGCTCTCAACCAGTTGATGAAAGAAACATTTTATAAATTCTAGGAAAAGCCTGTATCACATCATAGGTTCCATTTCTGTAAGTATTTAAACAACAAAGAAGTACATACTCATTATATTCTTAAACTAAGCAATGCCAGTAAGGGAATCATTAGCAAAACAAGCCAGTCAAACCCACCGGCTTCTAAAGGACACTATATACAAAGTGGAAAGAGTATAAAACATAGTTTCATTTCCTCCTCATTTCCTTTACATTCTGTTCCAACTATCTATGCAAGAGAAACATCCACCTAAATATTTTCCCATTTCTGTGCCTGGCTATGCCCTAGAACAGTAACAGCAAAGGAAAGACCTTGGTTGCCACACTGTTTCAAGGCACCAAATTTAATCGCAAAACCTCTGACAGTCAATTTACAGAGCTAACAAGCTGCAGTTTGTAAGCAATTAGAAGCCTTACCTTTAGCTCAGGCATGTTTATTATAAGCTGCATAGGTAGTTTAACATCAGGATCCTTTGTATAGTCCATGGGCACAACGTTTGGTGCCATTTCATGGTACCGGCCATGCAACCTGTAAGCAAGTAGAAAAAAAAGCCAACTTAAATAAACAATTCAATTCACATGGTACAGAACCATGGAATCATAGAGTAATGTGAGATGGAAGGGATCCACAAGGATCACTGACTCCCGGCTTCACACAGAACCACCCAAAATCCAACCATCTTTCTGAGAGCATCATCTGAACACTCCCTGAACCCCATCAGGCTTGATGCAGTGACTACTTCCCTAAGGAGCATGCTCCAATGTCCACACACTCTCTTCATGAAGAACCATTTCCTAACATTCAGTCTCAGCAATCAGACACAAATCCAGCTAATTGTTTCTTTTTAAGCGTACAATGCTAAAATGCATTGTACCTGCCAAAAACCTGCCAAATTTCCATCTTTTTGAAAAGCTTTGATGCAGTATCCAGCATAACTCAATGTGGGTAACTGATAGAAAAACAACAGGAATCCCACAGCCTCCTTTGGAGTTCTGAGAAAAGACATACATCACGTAGTGAAATGTAGTGTTAGTTTAGCTTTCATGCAATCCATTGGTGATATTGCTCTCACACTTGGACAGAGCAAGTAGCATGACCAATATGGGAACCAGCCCCAAGAGCCATCTCCCAGGAGCTGCACTGATAAGCACTGTGTGCACTATCGTTCTGACACTGATACTGATCCCTCAGTAACATCAATTTCTAACTGGAAATGGTTTGCCATTAAACCCCTGTGCCAACAGCTCTAACATTTCTTCTGTTCTTAGAGAAGCAGACAGCACTTCAGATGACAATCTGAATTCATAAGTAATAGTGACCTGGCAGGGAAAGGCTTTGTGTTCTTTCACTCAGCGTGTCCCTGAACAGGAAGCATATCTGATAAAAACAAAGTGGCTTTGGCTCTCTGCCCTAGTCACAGAAACAGTTACATCTTATCAGAGGAGGTAAGGTTTTACAGTGCTATTTAAATACAAACAGGTTGGAAAGGCTGCCATTTACCATAAACAAACCATTGTGTATATTCATAAGCCCAGAGTCTGCAACCAGCCTCCCTGCCCTTCGATGACTACAAATTCTGCACTACCTGCTTCTAGGAATTCTTGTGGATGCCTGCACCACTACTTTCCCATTTCTGGATGTGCTCCCTTTGTTGTCAAGACAGGTAACTCTGCACTGAGAATGCAGAGGAAAACCTGGTAGCATTTACTAGTGTTTTCCTTTCCACAGATGAGAATAAGAAGAGATTGCTAACATTGTAAAATGTTTTAACAGGCAGATGATGCCCTGTTCCTTCAGATATTGGTGTATGTTTAAACTTAATGTACTAAACTCTGGAGTTAAAGCCATGATTCCCTAACAAACTGCTAACAAATGAATTCAGCCCAAACCCAAACTACTGATCTGCTCTTGCAGGCATTTCAGGTCTTCCCACTGACCCACCTCTCTAGCATAAGCACTAACTCTTAGGAAACTAAGTTTCAAGGAATTGATGAGAACAGAGAAGTTTCACAGCTCCATGAGGGAGCTCACACAGTTGCAACACTAATGCTGCCTGTGCATTTATATCAAATTAATTTGCTACTGATCTTGGAGAGAAAGTCTAATTGTCCCCAAGGTCACCACTGGGTGTGTTAAGGTACAGGGAAGCTACTTGTGTAATGAGAACTCTGTGCTGAAAACAACAGACAAAAGCTTGTAATGGCTCACTGATTAGGAGGAAGTAAGCAGAGGCTTTAAAGCGGCCTTCCTAATGTATTTAATGTAACATCTCACCAAGTGTAGAGCTGCCTCCACAGTACTGGCCACTTGATTTATGTTATGAAGAAGAAAGAATTTCATTCAGGAATGTATCTATTCTATTTAATGCTAAAACAACATGAATGTATTCAATGCATACTCAACTTTAATAATACCACCCAAAGACTAACTTCTAGATTGCTTTTGCATATTCACAGAAAATAAATAGCAGTGCAGCTTCACTAGCACAACGAAACAGAGCCAAGAGTGCCAGCAGACTGTCCAAGCAGATCAGAGGAGTTGTGGGTTGACCTGGCCCAGAAATCAACTGGAGAGAATGGAATAAAAGAATTTCCACCAAAATCAAAGCTACTGCCTCTTGTTCAGATAGAAGGGTTACACAGAAGAGTTGTAGAACAACTCCTGGTAATATGCAGGGAACTCAGTGTTTCAGAGACCAGAGCAGCACTGATGAGCCTCTCCATGGCCCTGCACTCAGCCCCTCTGAAAACAGCTGCTGTGAGCAAAACCAACTGCATTTAAGACAGCATTGCACAGACTGCAGGGAAGAATGCATCGTGCTGAAGAAAAGACAGAGATGGGAACTTATTTACAATTGATGCTATAGTGCCCTGGTGATGCAAATTGCCAGGATACACACACTAGCAGGCTGTTGCCTTGAAGCCTATGGACACCACACAGAGCTGATCTCCACATGCAGCAGTGGACGAGCTCTGAAGGAGAACTGACCACAGAAAGCCTCTGCACAAGAGCAGGTCCTGGGCTGCAGCTGCAGGCCATGGAGAGGAGCCCACGATGGAGCACCAGGTCTGGAGGAGCTGCTGCCTGTGGGGATCCATGCTGGACCACACTGTTCCTGAAGATCGGGATCCATGGTACAGAGCCATGTTAGAGAGCAGGGCTTGAAGAGCTGTGGCCTGTGGGCCACACAGAATCTGTTGGGGAAAGGCAGCATCCCGTGGGAAGGACCGATGGAGCAGGGAGGAAAATGAGAGGGAAGGAGCAGCAGAGAAGTGTTATAAACTGGCTGCTGCCCCTGTTCCCCTTCACTGCTCAGTGGGAGGTAGGGGAAGATGGGAGGGGGTGAAGGTGTTTTCAGTTTGCTTTTATTATCTCATGGCCTCTTATTATCTCAGTAGTAGTTGCCAATGAATTACATGAATCTCTTTATGCTCACTCTGTTTTGCCCATGACGATTATTGGTGAGCCATGTCCCTGTCCTTATCTCAACCCTTGAGACCTTTCCCACTGTATTTTCTCCCCTTCTGCCAGCTTTTAGTTAATGTCAGGTGCTCTTTCATCTCTGCAATGCAAAATGAAGCAGTACAAATTCACTCAAGCCAATACTAAATAAATATCCTCCAAAAACACCTGCAGTAAAATAAAAAATTCTGCATGAGAAATGTCTTTGGGCATAGCTTATACCAATAAATTTATTCTAAAAGATGCAGTCATTAGGAAGACTTTGTCTTTCAATACATGTAAGAGTAAAAGCATTCACACAACTATATAAAGCTCAGTGCTTCTCGTCCTGTCACCACCGAGCATCACAGGGGAAAGTCTGGTTCTACTTTCTTCCCATCCTCTCCTCAAGTATTAGCACACATGGACAAGATTCCCCCAAGCCTCCTCTTGGCTAGCTGAAATGATCCCTGCTCTGACTTCCCTCATAAGAGAGGCTCTCCAGTCCCTTCATTGTGCAGGAGGCACTTTGCCCAGCTGTCCCCAGTCTGTTCCACTCCCCTCCTGTACTGGAGAGCCCAGAACTGAACACAGTGCTACAGGCTCCATACAGGACAGTTATTCTCACCTGTGCCTAGCAAACCAGGTGCAACGTGACTGAAGTATTATAAAGGAAAACTTTATGACACAAAAGGTGTAGGTCATAAAGAATGGCCTAGATGTGTTTCATTCAGGGGGCTAAACAAGCTTAACAACATAATTGTTGTTATAGAAACATAATTAACAAGATCAACAGCAGCTTCAGGATGTACGTTCTTCTGCATGTAGTCTCTTAAACACATTTAGAAGATTCCCAATGGTGTAAAGCTCCCCCAAACTTCATCCTCTCAGCAAACCCCTTCTTTATGTAGAGCCCAAACTTTTTGAAAGACAGGATGTGTTAGGATTGCATAAGCTGTGTTCCAGCCTCTCCCTCCATCTGCACAGCAGCCTGCTCCAAAGGGGAGATGCATCTCAAGCCCTTTTTTGTATCCCTTATCCCACTCCCTTATAAGGAGGGTTTTGCAGACATTTGGAGGAGAGCTCTGCTTATCTTCCCAACTTAACTGTCAGGCAGGTTTCAGATTTAAAATCCAGCATATCTGGATGGGCAGACTGGCTTCTCTGAACCTCACCTTTTTCTCTTCAAAGACATGCCAAGGAACAGGCAGAGAGAACAATGCAACAGAATTACAAATGCTCTTCTGTAAAACTGGGCAGCTGGTGCCCAACTTGGTGATTTAGTGCCGTATTCCTCCAGCAGCTGTCTAGCTAGGATAAGTCAGCCTCAAACTATAAAACAACTCTAGTTGACAGAATTTGTGCTTTTGGGCTAGAACAGACGCCCAAGAAATCAGGGTCTGAATGCTTTGGTATTTGCCAAATCGTATTAGTCTAGAGGGAGAAACAGAACCACATGGGCTGGCTAGCAGGCAAGCATTAATACTGGAGTTATAGGTTGGCTGCTAGAAAATCTGGTCCACAAAACCGAGGAAGAGAAACACTGCCTTGTAGGAGACAACTTAACTACCTGTTCCATGTACAACCACAAGACAAGCATGTTAAGCAAACAGATGAATTGCTGCTATGAATATAGTGTGGTGGGCTTTTTTGTTTGCTTGTTTTGGATTTTTTTCCTAAGCCTCTTTCCCTCCCCCCCTCCAGTGGATCCTTTCCAGTACAACAAGTCTTTTTTGAACAATAGTGCCAACTACTGAGGTCCCAACAATGCTGGCTGGAATGGAATTTCTCCCTTCTCCTTATTTATTTTAAATATGAGGGGGATATTTATTTTTAAAATTTACTTATACCAACTAATCCCCCTGCCACAAGTACAACTGGCAGTTACACTGCATTCCACATTTGCTACTTTTTCTCCTATCTACTGATAGCACTTCACTGCTTAAATATCAGTTCAGCTTGTTGCTAATTTTGCATATATATATGATTTTGTAAGGTTGATCTTCAGTGCCTGGTTCACTTCTGCTCAATGTTGTTGAGGATTTTTGAAAAAATACATTCACACGTGCCTTAGCCAAGAAGTTAGT